CTAGGGTAGATACTGCTAAGTGGAATAACTGGGTCCTATAGGATTTTTTTTTAAAGATTTATTTATTTATTTGAAAGAGTTACACAGAGAAGAGAAGGAGAGGCAGAGAGAGGTCTTCCATCTACTGGTCCACTCCCCAATTGGCAGTGGCCAGAACTGTGCCGATCTGAAGCCAGGAGCCAGGAGCTTTTTCAGGGTCTTCCCACATGGGCACAGGGGCCCAAGGACTTGGGCCGTTTTCTACTGCCTTCCCAGGCCATAGCAGAGAGCTAGATTCGAAGTGGAGCAGCCAGGACTCGAACCGGCGCCCATATGGGATGCCAGCACTGCAGGCAGTGGCCTTACCCGTCACGCCACAATGCCAGTTCCAGGATTTTAAATTGTAATAGATTCAGCAAAGTTGTCTTCCATAGTGGTCGTGCCAATTTCCACTTCCGTCTATTTGTGGAGAGAACATGGTTCCCCACAATAGATGATATTAACAAACTTTGAAAACTTTGGCATTCTCGTGGATAATAAATGGTTTCTTGTTGCCTTAGTATACGTTTCTAATGACATTAAGCAGCTTTTCGTGATTCTTATTGTCCTTTGTGTTTCATGTTCAGTGAACTATTTGCTCATGCCCTGTTCCCATCTTTGGTTTAATCTTTTATGTATTGGTCTATAGGAGTTCTTTGTGTATTATAGATAATTTAGGCCTATGATAGTATCAATAAAAAGGGACACAGAATAGAGAGGAGACAGGATACGAACTTGCAGCCAGAATGAATTTATTCACAGAGGTGGGTGCACACAGGCGGAATACGTGGCAGAGGGCCCAGGCCCTCAGTGGGCTGGGCCTTATTATCTTCGGATATGCTGAGAGTCCAGAGTCAGGTGGGGGGCAGTAGCTAGAGGTGAGTTTCTCCATAACAAGTTTTTCAAACCTGGAAAAGAATGCAGGGGGTGGGGTGGGGTAGGGAGGGGAGCAATGCAGGGTGTGAGACCGAGATGGTCTCTTGGAAGGATTCAGGGATAAGGGGTGAATTCCAGTTATCTCTCTTTTCGGGCAAGGAGCTGGAATGGCTGAGGTTTATGTCTTTGTTCCATCAGTAGGTATCGCAGTAAATTCTGTTAAAGACAAAGGACCCCATGGTCCTTTTTGTGCACATCTATTCTTGGGGTGTGATTTGACTATTTTCCTTCCTTCCTTCCTTCCTTCCTTCCTTCCTTCCTTCCTTTTTTTTTTTTTTTTTTTTTTGTTTAAGGATTTATTTACTTATTTGAAAGGCAGGGTTACAGAGAGAGAGAGGACGATACAGAAAGAGGGAGATCATCTATCTGCTGGTTCACTCTTCAAATGGCCACAACAGCTGACGCTGAGCCAGGCCGAAGCCAGGAGTCAGGAACTTCTTCCAGGTCTCCCATGTGGGTGCAGTGGCCCAAGGACTTGGGCCATCCTCCGCTGCTTTCCCAGGGGCATTAGCAGGGAGCTGGATTAGAAGTGGAGCAGCTGGGGCTCAAACGTTACCCATAGGGGATACCAGCATTGCAGGTCGAAGTTTAACCTTTTATGCCGCAATGCTGCCCTGATTTGCAATTTGCATATCCCCCTGCACTCCTTGCAGTACAGAGCAGTAATAATTGACACAAAAGATCATTTTTAAAGAAGTTGCATAATTTAAGAGTGCCCAACAGGAGTACAACTGAAGTAATGATAGGATGGCGTTCTGGAGCACACAAATCCACACCCCTATGGCGTAACAGATAAATGTGGAAAACACGAGAAGATGCGGATGTATGTGTAGTTAGTAGGACCTGGAGGTCAGACTACCTGAGTTCAGATCTGGCCTCTGCCCCTCACTGGCAGTCATTGAATCTGGGTAAATTGCTTAAGACTTCTAGGTGTTACTTTCCCCATCTGTAAAAATGAGGATAATAACAGGACCTATTTTATATGACTGATGGAGAGATTAAATGAGTTAATATAGGGAAATTATATTTTTACCAGAGCTATATAAATATTAGCTGTTATATAATAAAAGTTTGTTCTGTAGTGTGTATGTGTGTGTGTGTGTGTGTGTGTTGTGTTTTAAATCACATCTGACTTTTAAACCAATTGAATTTTGGGTGTGTTTCCTTCAGCCTCTCGTACCACCTGCTAATGAACACTTAGATAACATGATTATATGACATAAAAGATTAAAAATAAAGATAACAGCAATAACAGCATGAGTTTTTTAAAAAAAGGCATATGAGTCATAAAAATATGGTACAGGAGTTCCAGTGAACATAAACAGCTTCTTTGCAATATACTTGCTAAGGAAAGTGGGCATTTCTTTTAAGCAGTTAAAGTGTTGCAGCTGAAGCAATTGTGAAAACACAATTTATCGGTCACTTAGTTTGCCAGCTTTACAATCATGCGATTTTTGATTGATTTTTTATTTGATGGGATTTTCTGTATTTTATAATTCATTCATAAAGTAGAAGTTGATTGGTCTTTATGGGCCACTGATTCCAGATTTTTCTATTTCAAGATTGTACACATTGTGACCACTCTCTACCTACTGGTACATTTTTATTGGACCTTGTGTTCTTTGAGCTGTTCCAATGGTCAGTGCCAGGTGGGGCCTGCTGTTCTCCCTGGGATTTTATTTTATTTTATTTTCTTCAAAGATTTATTTATTTGAAAGACAGAGTTACAGAGAGGAAGGTAAAGATAGAGAGAGAGAGGTCTTCCATCTGCTGGTTCACTCCCCAAATGGCCGGAGCTATGCCAATCTGAAGCCAGGAGCTTCCTGCAGGTTTCCCATGTGGATGCAGAGGCCCAAGGACTTGGGCTGTCCTCTGCTTCTTTCCCAGGTGCATTAGCAGGGAGCTGGATCAGAGTGGAGCTGCTAGGAGATGAACTGGATGCTAGTGCTGCAGACCAGGGCCTTAATCCACTATACCACAGCACCGGCCCCAAGGAATTTTATTTTTCAGTGCAGAATGAAATATCCTAGACTTATGAGAGACTGAATTCAGAGCTTGCCGTGGGCCAATGATGCTCACAGCAGATGATTGACTATGTTGAGACTCCTGAATGGATGAAAGAGGTGTCTTGCTCCTCAGCCTGCTCCGTCCCTCCTCCCCAGCTTCAACCACTCCTTCAAGCACTGTGCAAACCTGAAGCTGTCTGGAGTCCTAGGACATACCTTGACAGTTCTAAGACAAAGTAGCATACCTGACTTTTGGCTTCATTGTCACTGAAGTTTGGAGTAAAGCAGTAAGCAGTACTTACTGTTGGGGAGGGAAGTATAAGCAGGGACAGGATGTTGACAGGAAGTTCTTCTGGGTGCCCATGTCATGGTACATAAGACTTTGAATTTGCTGCACTAAAGGGCTAAGGTTTGCATTCCCTAGAATGACTACAGTGGAAAAGGCTGGCAGCACCAAGAAATTGGTAACGATGGTTGGTGAGGGTGTGGAACGGTTAGAACATCTTGTACATTGCTGGAGGGAGTGTCAGCACTGATACTTGAACTGTTTGCTATTTTTTGTAAAGTTAGATATCTATCTACCCCATGACCTGGCAGTTCTACTCCCAGGAATCCCCTCAAGTGAAATGAAAACAAATGTACACACAAGTACTTATAGATGAGTATTCATAGCTTTCTTATTCATAATAGTAAGAAGATGGAGTGATTGACCATCCATCAATGGGGGAATGGATAAGAAAATTTGTGGAAGGTTAATAGAATGGACTACCACTCAAAATTAAAAATGTAGCTACAGATTCATGTAATGCCATGGGTGAATCTAGAAAAAACACGGTGTTTAAAGAATTCAGATGCAGAAGTAAAGATGATTCCATTTATATGGAGTCCAAGAAGAGACAAGTATCATTAATGGGAAACAATGGTTGCCTCTGGAAGGGGAAGTGGGAGGGTTGGCATTGACTGGAAAGGCACGAGGAACTCTGGGTGATGATACTGTTCTACATATTTGATTACTTGGGTGAATTTGTGGAAACTCATCCACTATGACTGTACATCTTCCTATGTACAAATTACACCTCAACAAAAGATTTATTTTGTACGATTCTCAAGGATTATGGTTATAACACTTGGTATTTTTTTTCTATTTGCTAGTCCTAACTATGTGCATTTGTGAGGATCGTCATCTTTCGTAGTGACAAATGACATAACTTTTAACTGTGTATCAGGGATCCTTAACCTTGGTCCAGTAATAGTTTTCAGGGGATCCATGAACCCTGTGGAATTCAGTGTATGTATATGTGCATACATTTTTCTTTTCCCTTATGAAGTGAGTTCATAGCTTTTATTATATTCTCAAAGGGTATGTGACCCAAATATATTTTGAATAAAACCTCTGTGCTAGAAGATTCATGCAAAATGTGTCAGACACAATATCAAGAGTTAAAGATGAATGAACTAATAAATGACAGGTTGTTTCCAGCTGATGTTCAAGGAACAAAGCTCCTAATAGGTTGCAGATTAAAACTGTCAGATGTCAATGGTTCCATGAAATGAACAAAAATGAGAGTAACCTTCTGGTCTGAGAAATAGAATAAAATGTACCATAAAAGTGTATCATTAAACAACTTTTGATCACATTTAAAGAAAAATACATCTGATACTCAAAAGTATTCTATATACTGTATCTATCTTAAATATGGAAATTAGATTAATAGAACTGACAGTTATGATTCAACTCTAAAAGAATTATTTAACATTTTTCTCTTGATGAAATAACCAATTACTACAGTCAGTGCTAACAGAATTGTGTCAGGCCCAACTTTGTCAGTGTTTAACAAAAGAAGGCAATTTTGATGTGACTCAGTTACAGCAATTTTCCTATACTAAGTTTTGAGGATTGGTTTTCGTTGTCAGCCTCTGATTGTAGGGAGACAATGCAGAATTAAGTTGGTGGCAGAGGCTTGTAAATGCTTTTTGAGATGTGAAGTGGCTCCAAGAACATGTGAGAACTTGGGCTTTCTTTTTTGTGGTTATTGATAGGTTTCTGTGGTCTGTTTTGTCCTATGTGTCTTGAGTGTGACATTGCCAGGCATTATGGAGAGTGTCTGTGTTGGCCATTGTTACCTGGATCCACCTTTGCACTGAGAATTGGCACCAGAGAGAGACATAAAATACGGGTAAGTGTACGGAAGGTCTGTGTGACCCTGGATCTATATAAGAACCTGGATGTCTTCCAAATTTGTGATTCCTCCCCTCGCCCCACCCTGCCAAAAAAAGGAGGTATGGGTGAGGATACTTAAAAATACCCCACTTAGTGGCAAACTTTAGGAAAGGAAAGAAATTTCCCATTTCATTCTTTACTAGGAAATATAAGCTCACAAAAATCCTATATGATGAATGGTATTTTCAAGGGGAAAATGATAATGCAGATTGTTGGTCAGGGTGCTCCAGAGCTGTGCTTCGATGAAGGGTGATTGGAGGACATGGCCATGATTGTTGGTCTTACTCCACCTCTCTCATCATTATATAGTCATGGACATCTACAGAAGTAAAACCACCTGCTAGCTTTTTGTTAATATATCAAGAGAAGATGACAGACAGAATCACACAAGGTTTGGAGGGGATACTTGGGAATCTGACTTAAAATATGTGACATGTGCAGCATTTACATGACATGTCCAGAATTCATTTGGTGGTTTCCTGGGAGTCTTTCAAAGAGCCAGATAGTCAACTTCCAGTATAGTGGAGACTGAAATACATGTGAGATTGGAAAAGGACAGGTCGTACATGTTAAATGTGGACAGATTTTAAAAAGGCATCTCTTTATGCCTTCTATGAGTGATCCCTCTGATATATATATATATTATATATATGTGTATATATATATATATATATATATATTGGACCTGCAGAGTTAGAAAGTTCTTCCTTCTGTTGGTTCAACCCCCAAGTGGCTGCTATGGCTGGTGCGCTACGCCGATCTGAAGCCAGGAGCCAGGTGCTTCCTCCTGGTCTCCCATGCGGGTGCAAGCACTTGGGCCATCCTCCACTGCCTTCCCTGGGCCACAGCAGAGAGCTGGCCTGGAAGAGGGGCAACCGGGACAGAATCCGGCACCCCACCGGGACTAGAACCCAGGGTGCCGGTGCCGCAGGGGATTAGCCAAGTGAGCTGCGGCGCTGGCAATATATATATTTTTAAAAGATTTATTTATTTATTTATTTATTTTTGACAGGCAGAGTGGACAGTGAGAGAGAGAGACAGAGAGAAAGGTCTTCCTTTGCCGTTGGTTCACCCTCCAATGGCCGCCGCGGCCGGCGTGCTGTGGCCGGCGCACGGCGCTGATCCGATGGCAGGAGCCAGGTACTTATCCTGGTCTCCCATGGGGTGCAGGGCCCAAGCACTTGGGCCATCCTCCACTGCACTCCCTGGCCACAGCAGAGAGCTGGCCTGGAAGAGGGGCAACTGGGACAGAATGTGGTGCCCCGACCAGGACTAGAACCTGGTGTGCCAGCGCCGCAAGGCGGAGGATTAGCCTAGTGAGCCGCAGCGCAGGCCTAAGATTTATTTATTTTTATTTGAAAGACAGTGTTACAGAGAGAAGTAGAGACAGAGAGAGAGGTCCTCCATCTGCTGGTTCATTCCCCAGATGGCCGCAATGGCTGGAGCTTGTGGGAGATGGAGTCCCTAGCTTGCTAAATGTGGGTTTCGCTTACGTGCTCTGGCTTGCTTGCTTGCCTGCTGTAACGCCATGATAGGCCTCACCCTGGACCAGGAAGGAGGCAGGCGGGGTCCTTGAGTACAAAGAGAGTAAGCTCCCTTGGAATTTATTACCTTCTGCCCTAGACCAGCTCCCCTGGAATTTATGGCCCAATGCTTCCTCCCCATGCCATCTCCTTTGTGTGGCCTTCCCGCCACATAATGTATATAGTCTTTACGTTTAAATGAACCAATGAACATGTTAGGTCCCAATACCTTGCCATATAGAGAATAAGAAGGTAACCTGCACGAGATGACCTGCACCCTTGTAAGTGTGAGGCTATAAAAACCTCTCTTATGCAAATGAGAGGGCCTTTTGCCTGTGTACCGCTAAATGGCTGTGTGCGTGTAGGGGGTCCCAGCCGGCTGGTAACAGATAAACCTCTGCTTTTGCATCCTCGACTGTGTCTTGTCCATTGATTGGGAAATTCGGACACAACAAGCTGAGCCGATGTGAAGTCAGAAGCCAGGAGCTTCCTCCAGGTCTCCCATGCAGGTGCAGGGACCCAAGGACCTGGGCCATCTTCTACTGCTTTCCCAGGCCATGGCAGAGAGCTGGATTGGGAGAGGAGCAGCTGGGACTAGAACCGGCACATATATGGGATGCCGGCACTTCAGGCCAGGGCTTTAACCCGCTGCCCTCCTCTGATATATTTTTAAGTGAAGGAAAAAGGCATAGATGTAACTATTTACATAAAAAGATGATATATGTATAAGCCTATGTAGACATGGAACTTCCCCAGAAGTTGGTAACAATGGTTGTTTCTAGACAGGTAACTGGGTGGCTGGGAACAGCTGTATTTGGGCAACAACTTTTTACTTTTGGACCATGTTTACTTATTAACCACTCCAAAGAAATAAATAAGTATAAATGGTAGGTCCTAAGAGAAAGATAGAACCTAGGTGTGATGGAGAAGCTAGTGGTTTTAAGCCCAAGAGCAGTATCAGGAAGTCTGAAGGGTAGGCTGGGAATCATAGGTACTGATTAGCTGCCTAGCTTCTGGGCACTTGGGTCACCCAGTGACCCTCGATGTTGGTGGATATTAGAAGCAGTGGGTGGGATGAGTCAGCAGGGAATTGTATAGGTCTCCAGGAAATGGAGGAGACTGTACAATTGTGGGAGAACAAAGACCCTGGTCTCGCCCTAGGGCACACTGTGTGAGGACTGGCTGGCGGTGCACTGCTGTTGGCCCCTTTCCATCTGTCAGGTGGCTCGGGAACTCAAGATGAGGACCTCCCATCTCTATGAAATCTGTGCGGTCGCTGCACCTAAGGACACCCTGGTTTGACTCAGCAAGACAACTCCTCCTGCTCACTCTGCTCTCCTCCCAAACTCTTCTTAGGAGATTTTTTTTTCCTTCGAATTTTCACTAAACAGTATGAAAATAAATGATTAATGCCCCTACTCTCTCTACTGCTGTTTTCCTTTCCTGATGAAGGCTTTGTTATTTATCTGAATTTGCTATTCTGGTTCAGCCTGTAAAGCAGATTTCAGGGGTATATATTGTGGCCTGCACCCCTGCCCTTGCCTGGGGCTTTGGAAGGTTGCATGGCCCCCTCCCCTAGCTCTCCACTAGGAGGCTGGAAGACTTGCCGTGTGGCCTTCTTAGGTCAAGCAACTGTCCCCAGAGTGTTAGAGAAGGGGCAGGGCATGGTGAATTTCAATTAGCACCTGCACTTGGCACCAGATGCTGCTGAAATACATAAGCCGCCCTCCTTCCCTTGTCCTGACTGTGTCAAAGGGAAAGTCTCAGGTCAGTTCTGACCTCAAACAGCTCTCTGACACTCGCAGGCTTCTTCAAGCCCCAGGGTCAAAGGCAACTGTTAGGGACTGAAGTGTGTCCCCGTGTTCCACACACACCCTGCCCCCGTCGAAGATGTGTTAGATATGAGGAGGTCTTTGTGAACATGACCTTACTCAGAATTAGGGTCTTTGCTGATATAATCAAGTTATGATGTCATTATCAGGGTAGGCTTTAGTCCAATATGATTGGCATCTTTAGGAGAAAAGACTCAGACACACAGAGGAAAGGCAGCCAGGGGCGGATGGAGGCAGGCTGCAGTGATGCGGCCAGAAGCTCAAGCTGCCTGGGGCCACCAGAGCCTGGAAGAGGGAGAGGGGTTCCTCTCCCATCAGTTTTGGAGTGAGCACAACCCTGCCAACTTCTGGATTTTGAGCTTCCCGCCTGGAGCCTGTGACAGGACAAGTTTTGGTTGTTTCAAGGCCTCCCTCCGCTTCGTGGAAATTTATTACAGCATCCCTGGGAAGCTAATGCAGCAGCCATCAGTTGTGTGAACTGAATAGTCTTGTTTTTGTTAGGGTAGAACAGTGCAGAAGAACCTTGTCCAGAGCCTGAAAAACTTCCTCTGTTGATTAATTGTATGATGGTAGGCACATTCACAAGACTCTCTGTGTCATAGTTTCTCATCTGTCAAGGGGAACAGTGGTAGTAGTGACCTCACAGGGCTGTGAGGATGATAATTAGTCACAACATTTAGCAAAGTGCCTGGCAAGTAGGAAGAATGCAGGAAATACGAGCTATTATTATTTTATGGCTACCTTATACTGTAGCAAATTATACTAGTTTTCTAGACAAAGTTTTCTTTTTAAATTGGATTTTAGATGAAAATGGATTCCATTAAAGTCAAGATATTAAGTGAATGATTATGTAGGTGTTAAGTGGGTATGGCCAACATTGTGGAGATGGGAAAACATAATTTTTATTGAATGCTAAGCACTGTTCAAAACATGCTATGTGTTTTTTTTTAAGATGTATGTATGTATGTATTTGAAAGGCAAAGTTACAGAGAGAGTGATCTTCATCCGCTGCTTCACTCCCCAGATGACTGCAATGGCCAGGGGTGGAGCAGGCCAAAGCTAGGAGCCAGGAACTCCATCCTGGTCTCCCATGTTGGTGGCAGGGACCTAAGCACTTGGGCCACCCTCTGCTGTTTTCCCAAGCACATGGGCAGGGAGCTGGATTGAAAGTGGAGCAGCCGGGACTCTAACCATGCTCATATGAGATGCCTGCATTCCAGGCAGCAGTTTAAGCTGCTGTGCCACAATGCTAGCTCCATGCTACATATTTTAAGATGTTTTGTCTTTAACGTCCCTCAGGAAAGTGCTGTTCAATTTTCTCAGAAAAGGGATTTGAGCCCTAGGGAGCTTAAATAACATGCCCAAGGTCCCATGGCTCATAACTAAACTGTATTAAGCAGGGAAGGCCTTCTTGGGCCCACGTGGTTGCACGCACCAGAGATTGCTCTATAGTGGTGAACATAGCCTGATTAGCCTTTAGAGAAAGGGTTACTTTCTACTGCTCCTACCTATCTGCACCTAAGCCTAAGCTAAGCAATGCTCATCTCACGTCTTCCTTTCTGGATGTCCAGAGAAGTCACCAGGAGCTAAACCCCTTTTGGGAAAAATGAAGTGTTCCATGTGGACATTTTGTAAATAATAAACTTTTTAAAAAAATATTATTTTAAAAGTCAGAGTTACAGAGAGAGAGGGAGAGACTGAGAGTGAGAGATCTTCCGTCTGCTGGTTCACTCCTCAGATGACTGCAACGGCTAATGCTGCGTCACACTAAAGCCAGGAGCTTCTTCCAGATCTTCCACATGGGTGTCGGGGCCCAGGTAGCTGGACCATCATCCGCTGCTTTTGCAGGCCATTAGCAGGGAGCTGGATCAGAAGTGGAGCATCTGGCGCCCATATGGGATGCTGGCATCACAGGCCCCTGCTTCACTCATTGAGCCACAGTGTCGGCGCCCCCATGTGGACATTTAACCTATGATAAAGTGTTGCTCTCAACCAGCTACTGAAAACAAACCAGGCCTGGGGACAACTCTATTAAATGAAAATAAACCTTTTTATTGTTTCATGCTAAAACCTATGGGGCTTCACAAACCCACGGCTGGGAACAATACACATTTCTGGCGGGGAAGTCCCAGCCAATCTCTGCCTATTTAGGTGGTAGGCCTCTCCTCAGGTGCCCCGCGTGAAGAGCGATGGTATTGCATACACTGGTTGCTGGTGCACTGCTCTTCTTGGTAGATGTCCAAGGTGTGGATGACCCTCTCCAGTGGGGAAACCCTCTTCCCCCTTTGCTTCTTCTGATCAGCTGGGTGGTCAAGAGCAAACTCAGCACTTCATTAGGGCCACAAACCCAAATAAGGGCATCTTTGGGTTGTGAAAGCATTGAGTCTACTACAGAATCACAGAACATAAGACAGAACCAATCTGAGGGTAGTTCTTTGAACACTTGGTAGGAAGTGGCTTGGGGTCTTGACATGTGCTTTCCTGGATGAACATGTCAAGTGCAGGAAACACAGTCCAATACTAGATATTTAAGTAAGAGATAACAATGCTGATATTAAACATCACATTAAACAAGGTTTATGGAAAGCTTTGAGTGGTATACAACAGGGAAGACATATTTTGTGTGTTTTTATTCTTACTAGAAAATTCATTTTGGTTTTGTAGGATGCAAAATGTGGCAAGGATCTCTGCTGACTCCATGTGGATGAAACCTACCAACACTCATGCAATAGTCATTTCGGAGTCATCCATACTGATTGTAATAAGTTACCAGACCAGAAAACAAACAACACCCCCTGCCACAACCCTTAGCTTTAGGGTGAAAATATACTAATAACCTGCCAGCCTTGGAACTCTCTATTTTTTGGAACAAAGATAACAAGTTTGGAAGTCCTTAAATGTCTGCTTTCTTAGGCAATAACTTGTATGTGTATATATATTTTATATACCTAAGGTTCATTATACAATCATCCATAATGAATAACATATCCTTTTATAAACACTATTCATTTACACATTAACACATAAAGATTCTCTTTTGGTCTAGTAAAAACACTGTACTTTTAAGAAAATAAGCAGAGATACAAGTGTCTATAGTTCTGATTATACTTCTATGGAGGCAGAAACTTTTCTCTGTTTATTTTTTCCTTCCTGTTTTGCCCCCTAAACCACCTCTGCTCAACTGAACAGTAAGAAGCAACAATCCCAGGAGATGAAACTCAGACTTCATGTTCAGCAAACGATTCTAAGGCAAATTTCTTGGCCTAACTCATTGAAATCTTTTTATCTCATCCTTGCATCTCTGCATCTCCTCTCTCCCCTGATTTTTTGACCCCTGACCATTTGGAATCTGTATGATAGAACTGAACAGCCAGGGAAGAAGCCTGTAGAAAATGGGAGCTTTTCTAAAGCTTCTGGGTTTAGCAGTGAACAGATCAGATGCTTTTGTGCTTTATGAAGTATTTGGTTTATTTTGGGTAAGTGGATTCAAAGGGAGAGCTCAATCCCTGTGAAACCCTCCACTGTATGTCATGGGAAGTTTGCAGAGACTTAAAAAACAGCATTAGTAAAAATTAGGAGTGGTAGCTTCCTCTTACTCCAATTGTGAGAGAGGGAAGCCAATGGATGAAGACGGAAATGTCAGCAAGAGGGCTTCAAGCCAAGGCTCCAGTGGTCAGCATTGTGGTACAGTGGGTTAAGCCGGTGCCTATGACACCAGCATCCCATGTGAATGCTTGCTTGGGCCCTAGCTGCTGCACTTCTGATCCAGCTGTCTGCTAATGTGCCTGGGAAATCAGGGGAAGATGGCACAAGTATTTGGACCATTGCTGCTCACGTGAGAGATCTGGATGGAGTTCCAAGCTGCTGGTTTTGACTTGGCCCAGCCTTCGCCATTGTGGCCATCTGAGGAGAAAACCAGCAGATGGAAGATCTCTCTTTTTGTCCCCCACCCACAACTCTGCCTCTCAAATAAATAAATCAATCTTTAAAAAAATTTGATAAAAAACAAGGCTGCAAATAGCCAATGGCCAATGGTTTCTGGGGACTAAAGGTTACATTGCTCCCCTAGCTTTTATATAGCTAGCCTGCATATACCTAACTCTTCCCCACATCATCTATAACATTGAAATTTCTTCCTGGAAAAGGAAATCCCTGAAACCAACTTAAAGGTGGTCTGTAAGGCCTCATGGTAGTGACAAGTAGATTCCAGAATTAGAAGGCAGAATCTCTATATTCACTGTTGCTAAGGCTAACTAGAAGCCAATCTGAATTCATCCCATAGGAAACAAAAACAACATTTAGTGACAGTAGTTCAGAAAAAAGATAGGACTGACAATTGACAGCACCATCTTTGACCCTACATGAGAAGGAGGTGTCATCATCAAATTACCCATTCTGTAGTTCAGTTCCACCTCCTCTCACTCACCACTTGGAAGGTAAAGCATTATACTTTTGGGCTTCTTGCTGCTTTTTATCACTTTCTCCTGTGGGTAAATAAAAGAGGCATATGATTAAGATGTCCAAGTTCTTTATTCTGCTAAAAGATGGGTGCCAGCCAGTGTAAGTCCTGTGTGTGATGGCTTCACTTAGAAGAAATGTCTCTGTAATCGCGAAATGCAGCACGGTTTGGTTGATGATTGTTCTTGTTTATGAGAAGTATTGCATGAAAGACTAAAAATGCTTTGATGCAAAATCAGGATCCTGAACTTGAAAACAACATTTTTCAGAGATGGTAATCAGGGCAGCCTAAGATCAAAATTCTTATTAGTGTTTCAAGATAGAGGAGAAGATGAAAATGTATGGTTCGAAAAGTTTAGGGGGGCAGATGTTTGGCCTTGTGATTAAGACGTTGGCTAGGATACTTGCATCCCATGTCAGAATGGGTTCAGTTTCTGGTCCGGCTCCTGACTTCAGCTTCCCTCGAATGCAGCCCTTGGCGGGAGTGGTGAAGCTCAAGTCGTTGAGTATTAGCCATCCACGTGGGAGCCCTAGCTTGGCGCTCTGCTTCCGGGCTTCGTCCCCGACTGACTGGAGCACTGGGGAGTAAAACAGTGTAAGGGAGCTCTCTGTATCTGTGTCTGTCTCTCTTTTCATCTCTTTGCCACGTATGTAAAATAGCAAAAATTTCAAAAAGGGCTTAGGGTATTTGTGACTTTTACTTATCTGTACAGTGGTTCTCTCAGGATAGCACAGATAATTTAAAAATTCAGTTTAGATCACAGTTTCTTTTTTTTCAACCTGAAGCAGAATGTCTTCTAATGGCTTGTTCTTTGTGATGATTTATTTATAAACATAAATGGATGCAGTTATAACTGATTTTTACATCTTTCTACTTCAAATAGCCTCTTTGTCAGCATTGTGGTCTGTGGTATCTCTCATAACATCATGGATATTTCTTTCCTGACATTTTTTTATGTACCTTATTTCCTTGATCAGGGTGTTCCAATAGAAATCCTCTTGATGAGAAGGGATCAGAGGGAAAGACACAAGGGAATGGCCATGGAAGAGAATGAGGATGCGCTGGAGGGGTGCTGGATGCTCAGTGGGGAACCCAGGGTGGGATGAAGGCTAGGGGACATTGTCAGGACGCATTGGCCTCTCTGATGGAACATCTGAGAGAAGAATATGGTGTCATCTCATGCATTATTCTAAATCTGAGCTGGAGAGGCAGGCCAGACACAGAGCTGGAGAGCATTTGATGTGTGGTCTTTTCATTTGTTAGTTAGCCTCCAAGCTATGAGAAGCTGGCAAAATCACATTGGCTTTGGGGTGGGAGTCTGGTGTAACCTGCAACAGCGCACGACTCACTTCTTCATCCTGGCCCATTAGCCATTAATACTGCAGGTGAAGATGGGTGCTTCTCCTTCTTCTATTTTCCTCTTGTCTTGGAGGCCAGACTATAGGTATTCCTGTCCTGCTCCTGATGGTCAAGGAATACTGCGTGGTCCACAAACTCTCCATTGCACATTTTCCATCCAGGCAGACTGTTCTCTTCACATCCCAGCTGGAGCTTGCTCCTGAGAAGATTGCCAAGGCAGGCTCTGTGAAGGTGACAAAGAGTTGAGAATCCATTATCTGTGAATGCAGCCTGGGTTCCTTAAAAGTCTGTTTTTTTTTTTAAAGGGTTTGTTTATTTATTTATTTGGAAGTAGAGTTACACAGAGAGAGACAGAGAGAGAACTTCCATCCACTGGTTCTCTCCCCAAATGGCCACAATGGCCAGAGCTGGGCTAGGCCAAAGCCAGGAGCCAGCAGGTTCATCCAGGCCTCCCACATGGGTGCAGGGTCCCAAGCCTTTTGGGCTGTCTTTTGCTGCTTTCCCAGGCCAATACAGGGAGCTGGTTGGAAGTGGAGCAGCCAGGACTCAAACTGGTGCCCGTGGCGGACGCTGGTATTGCAGGTAGCAGCTGTATCTGCTACGCCATACCACCAGCCCTCCTTAAAAGTCTAAGACTTCTGGGCAGGAGTTTGTCTTGTTTGCAGGAGAGATACTGTGTCCTTCTCAGTCCATTATATCAGGACAGACAGAATGCTCTTTCCCCATAACTGGTGATGGTAACTTTGGTCTTTTGATTAAGGTAGTTGCCTACCAGATTTGTATACTGTGTGGTTTTAATTTTTCCCATTATGATCAATAAGTATCTGGTGAAGGAAGACTCGGATACTTCAAGCATGCACTTGCTAGTCTTAACAGTCACTGATGATTTTTTTCCTGAACCAGTTATTACTGCAGTGGCTGCCAAATGGTGATGATCAAATCCCATCATTCCTTCCACACCTAGTAGCAGGCACTTTCCCTTCTCTATTTGTTTACATCAGTATGGACTCAGAGATTCCTATTTGATTCTATGGTTATCATCCATTACTGTCAAAAGCAAATGGTCTGATTTTAATTAATAGATGACAGACTCAAACTGAGAGACATTCTGTAAAGTCCGTGGAGTGGTGGCAGCATGTGGTGCAGCACGTTCAGCTGCTGCCTACAATGCCAGTTTTCCATATGGGCGCCAATTCGAGTCCTGGCTGCTCTGCTTCTGACTCAGCTCCCTGCTAATGCACCTGGGACAGCAGCTTAAGACAGTACAAGTGACTGGGCCCCTGCCACCCCTGTGGGAGACCTGGATGGAGTCTGGGATCCTGGTTTTTATCAGGCCCAGCTCTATCCGATGCAGCCACTTCATGAGTGAACCAGCAGTTCTCCTTCTCTCTCTGTAACTTTACCTTTCAAATAAATAAGTAACCTTTAAAAATTAAATCAGTGGACTTATCCTCTTCAAAATGCTAAGACCATGAAAGAAATGGATCCTGAAGAACTGTTACAGAGTAAAGGAAACTTTGGTGAGGTCACCATTACATGTAATATGTGAACCTGGACAGGATCCTAGGCAAGACTAATTTTTTTAGAGAATTATTTATTTGTAAGGCAGAGCAACAGAGAGAGTGGGGAGGGGGGGGGGAAGGGAAGGGATCTTGTTCACTGGTTCACTCCCCAAATGGCTGCAATGCCCAGGACTGGTCCACACTGTAGGCAGGAGCCTGGAACTGTATGCAGGTCTCTCACATGGGTGGCAGGGGTCTAAGTACTTGCAACATCTTCCTCTGCCTTCCTTGGCACACCAGCAGGGAGCTAGATGGAAAGTGGAACAGTCAGGACTCAAATATGGCATGCTGGCTTCACAAATGGGGCATTAATCTGTGTCACAAGACCACCCCTCCTCTTCTGCAACAGAAAAGACTTTCAGAAAATAATTTTCTATAAAGGAAAGTAGTGGGACAATTGAAAATACAGTAGGGCAATTGAATAAGATTCATAGACCAGTCAACAGTACTGTGCCATTGTTGGTTTCCTGATTTTCCAAATTGAACTATGGTTACGTAAGAGCATATTCTTACCTTTAGAAAATATAACCCTGAAAGGTTTAGGGATAACTGAATGCTTGGTATTTATACTATTCTCAAATGATACAGAAAATCACCAAGATGAACATAGTAAAATATTTTGGGAACTTAGTAGAGGGCTTACGGGAATTCTTTGTACAGTGTTAGCAAACATTTACGTAAATCTGAAATTATTTCAAAAATAAAATGTTAAAATTCAGAGTTTCTCTGAAGCTTTGAAATATTTTGATTACTGAACTCCTTTGCAACCCCATCCCCTCACATTTGTCATCAGTGTCCCCCCACCACGTCCCCCTCTTTTGTCCCCTTTGCTCTTTTTAGCTTGAGAATACTTAGGAGGGAATTGCAGCCTGACAGCCCCTGTGGGCCAGTGGTTTGAATGGACATTAGAGGAGCTGGTGATGTGCATGGCTTTGTTGCCATGTTGGCTCTTGGCTTTTCTGAGTGCAAATTAAGTCCTTACTGAAGGAGGAAGGGAGAGAGGCAAAAGATGGGCCCGATTGGCCCCGATAACGTTTGTTCAGACTCACCTGCTAAAGACTCAGCCCCAGCATTTGTCTACAACAAAGTCCCCATGAATATCCAGGAGAACAGGCAGCAGGTAGAAGTAGCTTTCCTCCTCCTCCCATTTCCTGAAGCTAGAGCCTGACTTGTCTCCATGGGCTTGTGCAGATTTCACTGCTGCTTTTCCCTTTGGGGAGCCTCTGATGATGACCCCAGCATCGTTACATTTTTATGGGTGAGAGGAGGGTTTGGCTGGGGGCAGCCAGATCCTGCAAGCAGGTGCTGCAGTTCACTCATTTTTTGGGAGCCTCACTTCACCTTCCCCAGTCCCCAAAGGCAGAGCTATGATCTGTGACGGCAGAACCCAGGCTTTCAAGCAGCCCTATTTGGGCCCAGATGTGAGTGTCTCTGAGCTCCGGGGCCTGCGAACTCGGGGCAGCTCGTCCCCTTTGGCTCGTGTGCTCACCACGGCCAGAGGGAGCTGGGGGAGGCTGAGGTGGCCGCTTTACATTCAGTGGCCAGAGAGGCTGGGATGCAAAGTGGGTGATGATGAGGGAGCACCCTGTGTCCTGTCACCGCGCACCACTGAATGTGGACCGGAGTTTGCTTTTATTATTCATGGATTTTAGCTCTGAAAGGAGAAGGCTCCTGGTCTTAACACATCCTGCCTCTCCTGCTTGTGCCTAGGTTGGTGGCTGTGCTGATGCAGGGCACCTGCCTGTGGGAAAAATATCCCAGCTGAGCTGCGTTGGTTAGCACATCAGTCCCGGCATCTGCAGCTGGGCGGACGATCCTCTGAGCTGGAAGGCAGGGCTGGCAGGGCTGACTGCTTCTGGATCCCAAGGGTGGAGTGGGCAGCTGTTTGCTCTTTCGGCTACATTGGTTGTGATACCGCATTTCTGACGGTGGGCAGGGCTGGGAAGCGGTAGGGAAGCCACTGCCACATGAACCCGATGTTCAGATTGCCCTAACAACGTACAAAGAGCCCTACCCAGAGATCGGCAGACATTTACTAGCACCTGAGAGTCCCATCACAGGTGGGAAGTGTGGGTTTCCCCCCAGCTGGCGTGGTGCAGCACCGCATGGCAGCCCTTGTGTCTACAGGCTGGGGGTGGGGGGTTCAGCATTAGGTGAGTGATAATTCTTGGTTTGCCTCGCGCTCAGAGGACAAGTGCATATGAATTTCCAGTAGAAAACCTTAATGTCTGCAGGATGGCCTGTGCATCCCACCTTAAAGAAGTGGCAAGCACTGGCAGCCACAGATGGTGCCAGCTGGCCTGGGTCTCTTTCCAAACTCTGCCTTCCTAGGCTTGAGACCCCCTGCAAGTTACTTAATCTCTCTGGGTCTCAGTTTCCTTACTGGTAACACGGGCATTGTGACAGTATTTACTTGGTATGGTTGTGCTGAGCTTGTTTAAACGAGTGCAATAACTAAAGCATATAGAACAGGGTCGAGCACACAACAGGGATTCTGTAATTGTTGACTCAAAGTTATTATTATAAATTAAGCGACCTCTTGAAGGATGTTTGTCATGAGTCTGCTTCTTCATGATCACAAAGGATGGAAAATGCTACAGAAGGAAACAGATCATTAAAACAGTGGCTCACCACGACACTCATGGTGAGAGGTTCTGGCATTTTAAAGACCAGCCTCAGTTTCCCGAGTGAACAGCTTACACCCTAATCTACGAAGTGAGGATGATAATAGCAGAGTATGTACTTTATATAGCTGTTGTGAGATGGCCTCTGTTATTTCCATTGCATAAGTGAGACCATTGAGACCCACAGGTGAACGGAGTTGACCATAGTTACATAGCAAGTCACTTTAGTCACAACTCAGGTGTGCAATTCTATAGCCTGGGTTCTGAATGCCTGTGCTTCGGAAGAGAGGAGAGAAAGAGAAGGAGGGGCTAGTGAGGAACAGAGAGAGAGAGACTAACGAGTGGTAATAAGTACTCCCTGAAGGAGTAAGTGGGCATGGAAATTCAATAAGTACATCCTAATGATAGCAAGGGAGATGACATTTCATGCCTTGTTTACACAATTCCAAGCAGCCACTTTGTTTAGAAACAAGGAATTGCTGCCTGCTTGCTGGAGAGTCATTGCTTTAAAGAAGCTGTGAGGGTCAGTCCCTTGGGACCGGGAGTCCCTCAGAGCCCAGTGTCGGGGAATGGTAGAGGCTGAGCCGTGCCCCTTGCTTCAGAGGTGGGAGCAGGGGGAGAAAGGGATGTCGCTCGCCTGGCCACTGAAACTCACTCCAGCATTATCTCCTCCATGCTCCTTCTTCCTCGGGAGCCCCTTCTTGTCAGGAGTGGGGGAGTGGGGGAGGGGATGCACCTGTTCTCCAAGTGCTCATTCCACTTATTGTGGGAGCAAACATTCTGATGAGTCAAGGAATTTGTTCACCCCCTCTGCAGGCATGTGCTGAGCTTGTTGCCACCCTCCGCACCATGCTGGGTGTCTGGTTCCTTCCTAACCTGCAGGTCTCAGTTCAAATATCACTTCCCTGGAGAAACCTCCCCTGGCCCCCCACCTGACATAGCTCACACACTCAGCCATTCTTCCTTCTATCCTGTCCCTCTGTTTCCTTCATAACACGTCATTTGGAAATTCTCTTGTGTGTCCCCTTCCCAAAGGC